GAACAAAATCTTTCTTTTTTACAATCAATGAATTTTCTTCAATTTTGGGACGCTGCTCCAGAGGTTTTAAACTTTTCATTTGCTGAACTGATGGTTTGGGTTTTTCGGACTGGGATGGGATCCTTTTTGCAGCTTCAGCATATGTTATTCCGAGCTCAAATTTCACTTTTCTAATTTCTATTCTCACTTCACAGCCACGATATGCAGCATTATGTTCTCCACCACAGTTACAGCATTTGATTTTAGCTTCTTCCCCACATTTTCCGTATTCGTGCTCTCCTGCACACCTTCCACATCGCTTTTTTCCTTTGCATACTGCTGCTATATGTCCGAATTTTTGGTATTTTAAGCATCTCAGAGGCGAAGGATTGTACATTTTTACATTGTAGCTCATGTAGCCAATGAAAACTTTGCTGGGTAATTGCTCTTATTCAAATTTGATTAACATAGATAAACTATCACACTTTTCTCCATTTCTTTTTGTTTTTAACCGTGTTTCACTTCTTTTACTTTTTCACTGCTTATGTTTTCTTGAATCTCTTTTTCAGATACTTTTAGAGGAACTCCTCCAATGACTCCCCTGCTAATCATTTTGTTCTCCACCAAGCTGCACTGAACTCTTTTCCCCTCAGTCTTGTTAATCCGTATTGCTTTGCCTTGCTGAGTGCTGTCTCTGCAGTTGATTAACAGGTCTCCACTATAGAGTATTGTGGCACTTCGGACTTCTCCTACAAGTTTTTTTATCGATTTTGTTAACTGAACCGGATTTCAATCTGCAAAAGAGTCTGCCTGATTAACTAGTTTGAATAAGACTTTTTAAACATTTTCTTTTCCTGTGTAATTTCTAGATTGTTCATCACTTGACTGTTCTGAACTGGACTCCCCTTCAACTGATCTCTGCTATTTCTCATTTTTTGACGCTACCCTCTTCTAATCTTCTTTGTTTTCACTATTTCCCTCTTCCATCCCACAAGAATTGCTTCCTGTTTCCTCGCTACTCATGGCCCAGGACATTTCTCCAAAAGCGACTTAAAAACACGCACCATGCACCAACTCGCTTCCTTCCCAGGTTTAAGCTGTTTTCAATTTTTAAGATATTTTTAAAGACAAAAGTTGGGCCTTTTCTTCAATAGCTTCCAGGTCATGTGACCTATTAATTCAAATTCTTAGTGAATTTTTTTTACTACATTAGCCTGATGAGGCAAACTCATTTTTATTCAATTTTAAGCCTTTGTTGATTTTTTAAAGATTTTTTTATAATATCAAAAGTGATATTTCCTCAATAGCTTCCAGGTCATATGACCCAGCGATTCAAATTCTTTGTCAAATTGTTCTACTACTTTAGCCAGATGGGGCACAGTCATTCTAATTCCATTTTAAGCCTTTGTATATTTTTGTAAATTTTTTTATTACAAAAATAATTGATATTTCTTCAGTAGCTTCCAGGTCACGTGACCCACTGACTCCAAATCTATGTCAAATTGTTCTACTACTTTAGCCAGATGGGGCACACTCATTTTATTCCATTTCAAGCCATTGTATATAGGCGGGGGAAGCATAGCGTCACCAGGTCGGGTTCGGTCGCTCCGTCCCTGGCTGGCCCCGGACTGGGACCAGCCCCGGAGCTGATGGCTCGGTTCAAATGTCCAGTCCGGTCCAGAAACCCAAATCTGGTCACTCTACTGGAGCTGAATGAGGGGCATAACAGGTGGTTCAGGTGAAACTGATAGGATTTAATTTACGCTTAAGCTTCTTAACCCAGTGTTGAGCATAAAGACCAGTATACGTTCTAAATATATATAACACATCATTCACTTCTGCAATGGCTGGATGAGTTGAAAAGGTTTAAGCCATGTTGATAAATAATGACATAACTGGATTTATAAGAAACCTATAGACATCAGCTAAAATATACATAAAACCTGCCGTAGATCAAATCCAAAAAAATTAAAATGACTGAAGCTATGCTTGAGAGTGTTGATGCTGAGAAAGCAGTCGATTCAATTAAGGGGGGTTTTCTCTATAGCAGTATATAAATACGGGTAACACAAAACAGTTTTTCAAGCTGTAAAGGCCCTATAAACAAATCCAACTGCCAGGATCAAGGTTAATTGATTCACATCACAAAGGGCAATGTTGTGGACATTTTAATTATCAAGAAGTAAGACACGTGTTCGATAAAATAAGAGAAGATTGATCTTGTCTTTATAAGTTTATTAGAAAGCAAACATCGTTCCATGGTTAATTTGCCCCTAGCAGAAAGTTATCATTTCCTTTATAGCCCTTGTGGCACAAAGCAGAACATTGATTAGAAACAGGAGGGTAAAACAAAGCAATCAATAGAATACTCCAATGAAGATCAGGACAATGAATCTGACATCATATCTTGAATGCATAGTAAGGTTGGCAGGGTCCTGAAAGAATTACACATCTTTACACAAAAATTCAAGGTCACTAAAACATACAAATTCTTCTACTATGTAAGAATATATAATCATGCACAAAAACATATAGTCTTTTCCCAATTCAGGAACAAGCCAGGACTGAACCTGGTGTCTATGTTTACATTATATTTAAAGGCAAATCCATAAAACAAACTTAAATAATAAAGGTATTAATGTTAAATGATAATTAGCTTTCTTCTTATACAGATGAAATCTTAATTGATTGAGGATATCCTTCTAATCCCCTACCTGGTTTCATTCATCTGTGTTAACAAGATGGTAAAATATCAGTTTATGAAATTAATGTGAATAAGATTCAAACAATTTTCCTGAATTATAATCCACAGCTATAATTATTATTCACTCTCTTACATGAAATGATAAAAAACAGTAAAACAAAGAAAATAAATCATTAGTTGCTAATTAAAGACATATCTTTCCCCAAATTCATGTTTGCTACTTCTACTTCAGGATGCTATTTAACTGAACTAGTATAATTGCCTTTATTCAATATCAATACATTGCCATTTTTATTTGTGAGACTCTTAAATTTAAAACAAAAATAAATATTCCATGATGAATTGATTCAATCTAGAGAAAAAAAAAGCCCATACATGCATATCCCATGTCAGTTCTCATGCTTAACTCTTTAAAGCTGACTTCTTAGATACCATCTTGACTGGAAAAAAAAACCAGAATTATGAAACAACAAACTAAGATTAAGGGTTAATATGAAGTCATATATATACAGATGGTTGTGCTGAAGTAATTTCAATAATCCTGGTCTCAATTACAACAGATGAATTATCTCATGCTCTTCTTCTTTTTTTTCTTCTTTTTTTTTACTGTCACCAAGCAGACTTCCAACTTGGGGCATGCCTTTTTTTCTCTCAGAAATGTTGCACTTTTTTTTTTTTACAAGCTACACATTTCATTTAAGCTTTCAATGGCTTCCTCTTTAGTAAGATGCTTCCATTCCTGAGGAATTTCTCCACAACCCTGGAATTTCAAATTATAATATTTTTCCAGTTTCTCTTGGAAGTTGCAGACAAACCATTTCCAGAATGCCAGCGTAGAGGCATCAGCTGTAATGCTCCATGCAGCGTATCTTTCTCCAGCAGATTGATACTTTTTATAAGGAACTAAACGCTCTGAGGAATCAGGATGAAAGCTTCTGTCACTTGCAACTGATGTGGTGCAGAAATTAATCACCATGTCCACTGCATCTCTTACATGCATTCCGTTTACTCCAGGTGGTCGATGAAAAGGAACGCTGTGTTTCTCAGGACTGTGATCCTTCAGAGTGTTGGTGCAAACAGCAGCACAGAAAGGACACCTTTCCCAGCAGCAGTTACATAGCTGATCAATGAGGATTTGTTCAGGCTTCTGCCTGCATTCATTCACCTTTTCCAGGGGCAGACTTTTCATTTCCTCTGTGATGGTGTTGAAGCCTTTCTCTATCTCTTCTTTCAGAAAGTCAAAATTGTTTATGTCGCTGAAGTTTTGACAATTAATGGTTTCAAGTGTCAAGTTTGGCCCTAATACACTGGAAAACTCCTCTAACCAGTCTTTTATGTCTCCCTCCTTCTTTTCCAGTTTCTCTGTTGCCTCAAACAAAGCATGACTGATGAGCTGGTTAATGTCTTCCACATTTTTCCTGATAATAGTCTCGGCTTCACTTTTCATTGTTGAGAACAAGCATTCCTCCACCTTCTCCTTAATAAAGGCCTCTGCTTGCTTTCTTGGATTTTTGATGTAGGTCATAAAACTGTTGAATTCTTCTTTCTCTGCCAGAGATTTCAACAAATGTTTCTCAAAGTTCAGTCTATTCCCACTAAATGCTGGGAAATTGCACTTCATCTTTCCAGCAAAATCAACCCCAGTCTTGTTGCAAACTGCTTCAATAGCAGAGACTTTTAGTTTTTCACACATCATTTCTCCAAACACAACAACAGATGAGCTTCCTTTGCAAAGCCCTCTAAAGATGTTGTAATATTCCTTCTTTTTGCTTTCCAAATAAGTATTCACATTATTGTTCTCCTTGTATTTCTTATGGGAATCTAAGAGCCAACTCTCTACACTGTCAAACACATAAAGTGAAAGGTCAACTATAAACTCTTTCTTAAATGTATATTTCCTCCCTGATTCAAACTCTGTCACTCTGTCTTTAACAGTTTTGGCAAGTTCCTGTAAGTATGTCTGTCTGTATCCTCTTGTTGAAACAGGTTTGCTTTTGATGACCCCCAAACAATCTTTTTCAACCTTTTCTATAAAGGATCTGATTTTTTTCTGTTCTTCATATGGAAAATCATTTTTTGATTCCCTTTCATTCACACTTTTTTTGGATGTCAAGCTCTTCCATACATTCACGGCCCATGGAAAAAAACGTGCTGCAATGCCTTTCTCCAGTTCTGTCTTACTCTCCTGAGCTTCTTGGTTTACTTCATCTTGATTTTTAGACTTCTTTTGGTTTATATAACCAGAGTAGTCTCCAGTTTCTAACATTTTTTTGTAAATCTGTCTATTTTCTAATTCAGCAATAAATGCCCCCTCAACCCCAAATTCATTGAGGACCTTAAACTCATCTTCCTTAAAGTTTATATCCTCAACTGGTTTTGCATCTGGGTTTAATTCCTCTACCCATTTACTCCAGACAGTGTTAAAATGTTGTTCTAATTCGTTTTCATCTTTTGCTGAAGATTTTAATTGTGTAGCGAGTTCTTTACTCTTCTGGAAGAGCTTGTTTTCAAAATCAGTTTTCTTATTGTCAAGCTGTTTTCGAGCAGTTTTCTGCTGAATAACCTCATCCAGTTTTCTTTTCATGCCTTTCACGAGTTCCTCATAAAACTCTCTGATTTTGTTCTCAAATCGTCCCCGCCACTGAACCAGAATTTCTTTGTCTTTTTCATCATCAAAGTAAGCTTCTAAACTGTCTTTTACTGCTTTGTAAGTTTTGCTAATTTCTTTGTAAAGGTCACTTAGCTCAACTTTGTCCAGCTGCCCCTTTTCAATCTTGGGATAAAGTTGGTTTTCAATGTTCAGCATTTCACTCCTCAGGGTCCAAGTCCAGTTTCCATATTGGACCTCCAGCTTTCTGTAAACTGCAATTTCTTGGGTGTTTTTGAAGCTAAAAACAAAGTTTTCATTCATCAAGGCATTCCACAAGTCCCGAATCTTGGTATTGAAATGTGACAAAAGGATCCCATCAGAAGGTTTAGCCTTAGAGAGGATGATGGTCTTCAGTTCTTGGACACTCTCACTATACCCTGGATTTGGAGGAGCCATTGGTGGACTTCCCTCCCACAGCTGAGCAAAGTATTTCACATCTTTTTGCACATCAAATGCGATGACATCACTGAAGCACTCAACATCACACCCCTCCTCTTTGGCAGCTAGTTGAGCCATCTTGTCCAGTGTTTCCTGCAGGCGTCTTCTTCCATCCATGTTTTTCTCTGTTGCTGCAATATCTGTGACATTCTGGTGAACAAACATACAACTTGGAGAAAGCTTGACTTTCTTCATCCTCATGAAAGCTTGCACAACTATCTGCAGGATATCTTGCATCTCAGCTGGATTCTCACCAAAGATGTTTATTAAGGTCATGTTTCCCAGACCAACAACAAATGTTGCAAGTTCATTGTCATGATGAAGGGTGTTGTTGCCTGCTAACTCAAGAGCACGCAGTCCTTCAGTGTCAACAACTAGAATATAGTCAAACTTGTAGTCTTTCTGGATTTCATCTGACAGTTTAACCAGCTGCATGTAAGCACCTTTGGTGCACCTCCCAGCACTCACTGCAAACTGCAATCCAAACATGGCATTCAGCATTGTTGACTTTCCACTGCTTTGTACGCCTAGAACTGACAGCACAAAGACTTTCCGGTCACCCAGTTTCTTGATGACTTCCTGTATAAGACTGGAGACCCATATTAAAGGCACGTGGCCAGCATCACCATCCATCAGTTCCATTGGGTGTCCTTTTATCATCATATCTGCAGCCAGCTCAGGGTATTTAGTCCATTCAGTGCATTGGCCAAGTGATGATTTTTTGATAGATTTATGGGCTTCATAGATCTGCCCCATTTCTCTGAAGATGTGTTCCAAACCAAAAGTTGCTGATTGGAGCTTTTTTGATAACTTATTAAGCTGAGCTTGTTTGTTATTTAATTCGGCAGATTTGTCATGTTTCCTCTTTAGAGCCAAGACTTCTGACCATGTTTCATCATAGCTTTGGAGAATTGAAGAGAGATCATCTGTAGAGAGAGAATCTAACAGGATCTGAGTCCATTTTAAGAAATATTCCTTGTCTTCTGGTTGAAAAATCTGGAGGCTCACAGTGAATGACTTCATCAGTTCTCTATTGTACATTTTACACTGCCTCTTTCGTAGCTTCATCAGCTGCTGATTTTTCTGATCCTTTTCTTTCTCAATGTCTCCCTTTAGATAATGTAATTCTTTATTGATTTTGCACCAATCATACCAAAGCTGGCCTTGACAGGGAAGAAATTTATCTTTTATTTCAGAAACATTCTCCATTTCAATCTGTTTAACTAGTTTCATGGCAGCCTCTTTCCCATTCTTGCAAACCTCTGCATCTTCATCCACTAGGACTCCTGAGACTCTAGCCATAGTTTCTAGCTGAAAGGTTGTGTGAGGTCCAGCCAAAATGGTTTGTATGGTTTCTTTCAGTTCTTCAGAAACATCCGACTGGCTTCTTTCTTTCAGACCCAGTTTGTATTTTTGATTTTCTATCTCAGCTACATTTGAGTCATTGTCAGCACTGAGAATAATCAGAGGCTTTGGAGACATGTAAAGCTCTGAAATGATTTCACTACTTTCCTGGCCTTCTTTCAAAGTTTCTACCAGAACCACAATGACTGAGGAATTTTCAGTCAATATTTCACGCTGCTTTACATTTTTTAGTGAATCCCCATGAAGATTACAGAAGGCAATGCAGTCAGTAAAGAAATCATTGGGTTTTCCAGCAGGGCAGTACCAGGCAATCTCTGCCACACCATCCATCAAATAACGAGATTTGGTGCTGCCTGGACAGTTTCTATGGAAGAATGTGTGGTGGCGGTCGTTGATCAAGGCATTCATGAGCTGGGACTTGGAAAAGGACATGGAGCCCAGTCGGAAAAAGGAAACCATGGGAGTCTGAGCTTTGTAGATTGGCATGCTCTTCATTGTGACAGTGGATTTATTGTCTATTTTCCAAGTTTTTGTTATCTTTCTGAACGTCCACAGCGGAAACTCAATATTTGTTGTGCCAGGATCAGGGATAAGCAATGGCAAGGCATACTGACACTGAGACAACTTCGTAATCATTTTCTGTTTAAGGAAGCTGTCGGAGCAGCGAAATGCTGCCATTTGAACATCCATTGGATGTATATGACTTTCTTTTGATTGATTTAGATCTGTACTTGTTGTGAAAAGAGCATCCAAGCTTTTATCTGTTATAGCACTTCCAGACCTCGAGACAGACTGTGAGGTTTTAATATTAGAGGTTTTTTGTTTTACGTGTATGTATCTTGCTCTGTAATCTAACATCATTAACCTCTGAAAAAAGGCGAGAGCTAGATCTTTCTCAAAAATCTCATTAGTCTGTATTAAAGTTCCGCCTACTTTGACAAAATCCTCTGATTTCAGCATCTCTTGATGTGGATCCTGGAGCTGAAGTCTTCTGAGTATTGATTCAATTTCTTTTTCACATTTCTTTCTGTTTTCCTCTGAAGGATTGTAGGAAGACTGTAAAAACAATAATATAATAGTTTATTGTTGTTAAAAAAGAAAAACAAAACAAACAAAAAGAATATCAAGGTCCTTTGAATGATAAGACTAAAAATATATAAAGGTTTCAATGTAAAGTGTTAGGATTGCATCAAATTGTTGAACAAACAAAACAAGTTAACGATAAGACGAACACAATTTTTTTTTTGTCAGGACAAAGAACAAACCCACAGAAACTCAATAATCTTTTCAGTATTCAGTGTTTTAAATCTTTCCTCAAATACATCTTTGGTCATCAATAAATCCACAGATCAATGTAATATATTTCAGCCGAATTTGATTAAATCTAAGCATTAGTTGCTTAAATGAAATAAAAACGTTTTACTGTTGTAACCCTTTAGGTTTAGGACCCCCATAGGTGCTCAAAATGTGCATGAATGGGTAAATTACTCAATGTAGTGTAAAGCGCTTGGAGTCCTCTGACTTGAACATGCAAGAAAACAGCAAACGTCTACCATTTACAAAAAAAAATATATATATATTATTGTGAAATTAATTTCAGAATAATGAAAAGGTTATTTAACAGATTTTTTCCCCAATAAAATAAATTGTTGCCTTTTATTTTAATTAGGGTTGTCCTCATACAAAATTTTCCTTTCTGATGCAATACTGATATTGCACCTTTGAGTAGTGGCTGCTACCAATATTGAGCTGACATAATATCGGCATAAATCATACAAACTTTTATAACTTATTTTATAGTCTGCAATGTTACAAAAGGTTTGATCAAGTGATATCACTAAGACATAAAACTATAGGCAACAGTAATATTGTAATACAAACATGGCTGGTAAACATCATTAGAGTCTGATCATCTTATGACTGAACATACCCCTTTAAGGCAAAATACAGCCAGCCAAATTAACAGTGCACACCCCTTTAAGGCAGTTGTAAGCAGACCCCATGACTGCGCTGTGCGCATCCCTTCTAGAAAAATCTTGCCGGCTCAAATGACACTCATACACAGTAGTCTAGTTTCCTCTCTAGATCATAGTACTCATTATGAAAGAACAATCCTTTAAAAAAACTGAATGATAATAGTATACTATATATATAATATTTGTAAAACATAATCTTATATCTTATTAATATAAAACTTTGCGTTTATCATATTAATATTTAATTGAAAAATATATAACTGCACATATCTCCTCCAGTTTCAGTTCAGTTTAAATAGTTTTTATTCTGAATAAATATGTGTAATCTAACTGAAAGGTAATTTTAGAATTTGTTTTGGTCTTTATGGCGTTTTAAGATGTAGGAGAATATAGTAATATTATCTTTGACTCATCTTTTATATTAATAAAATGAGGTCCAAGACACCTCCTATTCATTCTGACAGCAGCTGTCTAAACTGTGGTCTGATCCAAGATGGCCGCCAACTAGGCATGTCAGCCAGCAGCCTATGAGGCATCTGCTTATATAATTTCTATGCCGAGCACTGTTAACTCCACCTTCTTTGACCATATGTTAGAGGCAGCCATTTTGTGGTTTTATGACTCTTTTATGACTCTTTGCCCAGCAAAGCCCCGCCCTCTAGCTTTTATTATGATGAAATATACTTTAGAATAATGAGTTGAGAATCTTAATAGCATTCAGTTATTTCACAACAACATTGATATTTGTTTTACAATTATTTATTTAATATTGCATTTTTGCATTCCTTATAGTAAATGTTTCTTTTCTGTATTTTTAAATATTAAATTGTGAGTTCAGATAATAATCTAAGGAGATTATTGTCAATTGTTGAAATAAATGTTTTTCCTTACCTTAGCCTTTTGTTCAGCCTCCAACCTTTCTCCTGTAGGATGATATAAAAAAAAGAAACATCAGTTTATATGATCTTTTGATGTGCCAAACAGTATATGCAATCCTCAACTACCAAGATCCTTTGTCAGTCATAGAAGTATTTGCATTTCACTAGATTATATGCATAGTGAAGTGTCAGAGGAGTGAATTTTTATCCCTGTCCAATCCCACTCTGATAGAAAAAAATCTTGTCTTGTCCCAAAGTCTTTTCTTTCTCCCTGACCCAGAGTAAAAAAAAAAAAAAACTTCTAATCCCATCCCATTCCTGGTTAAAACAACCACCCCAATGGCTAATTTCACAAAAGCATAATTCAGAAACTCCAGGATAAGAGATAAGTCCAGGCTCCACCTAGTGTGAGGATTGAATCCTGAATTAATTCATTTCACAAAGGCCAAGCCAGGCTCGACAGTGGTGTCTACGTTAAGCCAGATGTCAGTAATAAAGCGAAATGCTCATTGCAAAAAAAGTTAAATAACAATTCACGAGACTTTGTTTCATTTCCCAGCCAGAAAGCTTTTTCAATTCAAAATGTCAGGAATAGCGCTGAGTTCGAGGCTTTATACAGTAGCGCAAGAAAGCCTTGTTTTTGTTTAGAAAACATGCAAAAGAAAACAGATCCCCTCCTTTGGAACTGCGAGTGTTTGGCTTCTTTTGTTAGCCTGCAATGGCCCATACCTGTCTATGTCTCTGAAAGGGTGGTCTTTAAAGGGAATTGTCAGCCTGAATAGGCGAGGTCCTCAAACTTGGAAACAAAGTCCAGTGGATTGTTTTTTTTAAACTTTTTTTTTAATGATTACGACCTGGATGACTGAGAATTTTCACCAACATAAATCTAAATGCTGCTCTGCAGTTTTCCTCAAAATACTGACATCAATCACAGATTCTAGTGTTCAGCAATCAATAGCTGATTTACTTAAAGCTTAAGTAGTCTAAAATAGACTACTTAAGCTATTGACTCCTGATAACTAGTCTATAAGACTATTTTTATAAAATCTGAAATGATCGAAATTCATCACTGGATCTGGCCTATACAATTTTCAAGTAAGATTTCATTGTCATCAAGGTTTACAGCTGCTGTAAATCAAGGTGCATCACTGTGCAAGGACGTCCAATGTTTAGCAATATTGTTTCTTTGAAAACAACTTTGGATCAGACAGCAAATTGTAATATCTGTAAACCGCATATTTGACATCATGAATTAGATTTTCCATTTAGAAAATAATCTAGGAGGACAGTGAAATCGCAGCACAAAAAATTGGCAGAGGTAGTTGCTTTGAAAATATATGTGTCAGGTACGTATCAGTCAAACTAAGGAATAAAAAAAATAAGGGCTCAGGACATCCCTAGTCTGTGATACACATTTCTTAGCCACTTTCTTTATTTGAAAAAAAAAAGTATAATATAAGGAGTTACTTGTTATTATTCTCAGATGTAAATTAATAAACCTAAACATTAACAATGGTTTAAGTCTTCGCCTTCAACATGGACGGCTCGGGATAAAATCTGCGGTTATTCATTTTGTATTAAAACCTTGTTTTTAAAGTGCAGATATGATTTATTTTATCTCAATGTGTACACATTCCAGCGCACAATAAATATTAGAGAATCCTTTATCAAAAAAAAAATAAAAATGAAAAAGGTAGTCCAACTGTCCGAAGTGCAATCAGATTCATGTCACTTGCAATACTGTGCCGCACCTGAATTGGAAGGTTATGAGGATGTGCATATTATCCCTTTAATGCCAAAAAACACAGTTCTGATGGTGCAGCAAATAGTGTCTTCAGGTAAGATTTTCAGCAAATACTACTGCTTAAAGCAACATACTGCTCGCACTAAATCTGAGCCCAACATATATAATTTATTTAACAGAAAAGCCATAGCCTATTGATAAATAATAAAATTCTGATAAATGCGTGGTGGAGAAATGGTTTCCCAGAAGTTGAGTGATTTGCTCGACTGCTGGCCGTGATATGATCCAGGATCTAGCTAAAAGTTTAAGTAACATTTGTGCTATTTAAGTGTGTGGGAATAGCAAGGATAAATAGTTCTATGAATACCTTAATGTCAGGTCATTTTGACCTATCACAAGTTCCAGGAGGAACTCATAAATCCAGGAGGATGCTTGGCTTAATAGGATGTTTATGAAAAGCTTATCGGCTTATAACACACAACCAAACACGTATGATTTCAGTGCCCACCCAGAGAGACACTTGTGCCCACCCTGAACTGGAAAATATTTATTTTATTAAAGTTTTGTTTTTATACTCTGGATGGGACAACTTTGTGTCATCCTATTTTTTGGTCTGTCAAAATTACAGTTGAACCAATCCAAAGAAAAAGCAAAAACGACATTCTATTCAACCACAGATAGTGGGATGTGGCTGAAGTCACTGTCACTAGTCTGACAGAATAAACATTCTGCTTGGAGAGTTAGCTACACTACCAAGATGCAAATAGTGTAACTCAGCCAGACAGAAGAAATTTGAGTAATGATATCACAGTTATAACAACTTACAAATTCAAGTTACATACCAAAGACTTACAAGTTAATAGTATAGTTATACCTCTCTATCTCTTTGTCTCGCTCTCCATCTCTCTCCCTCTCTCCACATCTCTCTCTATATCTATCTAACTCTCTCTGGGCCGGATTTATCAAGATCCAATTTTGCGTGCAGTAATTTGCGCTCGCAAACTGGAATTTTGCGCGAGGGGCTGAACCATGGTTTGCGGGTGATTTAACAAGAGTATTTGCGTAACTGGTGGCAGGTGCAAAACTGTTGGAGACGCCCTATTTAAATGATGGTTTTGCGCGTTTTGTGGTTTGCGGCAACCTTTATTCCCTAAGGTGGTA